TTGGGACCGGCCCAGTCCGTTCTCGGGAGCCACTGTGAGTCGCCAACGCACTTCTTGAACCTCAGCCTTGGAGTCACGGAAATCGCTGAGCAAAACAAAGCCCTGGAAATCCGGCCGAGACTCCAGGGCCGAGCCCGCCCTGGAGGGTGGCCAAGGCGCCCCATGGAGACGGGCACTTTTCGGGCGCTCACCGGGCCCCACCTGGCCAGAAGGGACCTCGCAGAAGTCCTGCGATGATTTCGTCTAAAGTCTCTTGGCACACTGACCGCCCCGCCCACACATGCAAATGCCGTGACAAAATCATGCAAATGGGACCTTGAAATCCATCAGCTGCATTTGACAGGCTCTCCCTGGAGGGGGGGGGGTTGGTACTGCGGGACAGAAGACACAGGGCCTCCATGGAGGTGGCTGTTGGGCTGGGGTGGGACGGTGAGGACATCTCCATCATTGAAACTGGAACTTTAAAAAACAAAGAACTGGAATTCGGGTGTTTGGAGGCGTTGGGGCTGCTAATACCCCTGGACCTTCAAGGACTGGGCAGGATCCTGGCTACAGTCTGTACCCATATTCTGTGTTCTGCTTGGTGGCCATACCCCAGTAGTGACTGGGGTCCATTTCTGGGTCTACATCTGGGTCCCACATGATGACCAAATGCCGGCTCTGCCCGGGGCCACGCCCTGCATCAGGACCCAGGTCCAGTCTGTGTCTTGGGCTTCCCACCCCCCAGGCCCCTTCACCCCAGCCTGATGCCCAGCCGAGGCCAAGTGCACGCCTTGAGCAGGGGATACCACAGCGCAGTGGTGCCACCTGGGCACCAAGAAGCAGGCACAGCTACACCAGCCCTGTGCTGAGTTCACACTGCAGCTGCTTACCCCACCCCTACCCCCCACCCCTCCCCGACAAAGGTGCCTGTGATGAGCAGTGACCTCCGGTCTCCTCTGCGCCGCATACCACTGGAGGACTTGCTGCAGCACCGTCATTAATCCTGCAGGTCTGGTGACGTCCCCCTCCATGGGGTTAGGGCCTGCACCCGCCCCTGGCCTCAGCTAGCTGCCCTATGGACCCTGTGACTCCATGTCACACAATGAGGCAGGCGCGCTACCAAGAATGCCCAAGTGGCAATGCACGCCAGCCAGCCCTCTGGAGCCCTGTAACTTGCACAGAGCAGAACACGAAGGCGTTTGGGCCCAGCCTGGGGTAGGGTGGCCGGCCTGCTTGCGTGAGCCCCTGGAACTACTTTGAGGAAAATCCACTGAAAGGTGATCAAGGAGAAAAGCCAGGCGGCAGCCAGTGAGGCCCACGATGGCATGGAAAGAGGCAGGGTCCAGCAGCCAGGCCTAGGACAGGTCCCCGCGGGGCAGGTGAACCATGAGCTTAAAGGCAGCAGAGGCCACAGCAGCCATCTGCTGACGCCACAGGAGGGCTGCGGTGAGGGGCAGACAGCACCCCTTGATTGGTCATCCAGCACAGGTAGCCCCTGGTGGACAGACACGGGGCCGCGCACAGTGTAGGGCCGGCACTACCCTGTTGCACACCATCCCTCCAGCAGCATGCCAGCCCCAGCCCCAGCTTGGCGATTCTCCCCTCTGCACAGTCTCACCCAGCTCTCCAGGTCCCTCTCTAAGGCCATCGACCCCACATGACTCTTATGTTGTCCCCACAGGAAAAAGCCGACGTTGCTCACAGGCTAGCTTCCTCCGGGCGCTCTTGCTCACCATCACCCTCAAACTCCAGCCGATGAGCTGCTTGTGGGCAGGGGGTGGGGACGACTAACAGGACTGCCAGGTCCTGTGCCCCCTCTGCCTGCCTGCCTTTTCCTGGCATTTATGAGCACCAGCCTCAAGTACCTTGCTCCCCATCTCCCTCCAGCTGGAGACGCCCACCATACCCCCAAGAATTGGAGAGAGGAGGGGCCAGTCTTAACCCCGAAGTGATGCAAGGAGGCTTCTCACAAGATCGGCCCTTGCTCTGTGTGTGTACAAGGTCACCAAGGCCGAGGCTGGGACAAGCCTGCAGACCTACTGTGGGTGAACAGCCTCACGGACTCAGGGAAGAAATGGCCTCCCTCTCCCTCCCATGGGAAGTCCGCAGAAATGGCCTTTGACCCTCTCCCCTGACCTTTAGGGGAAAGGTCTCCTTCCCCACAGACTGTCCCTGCTGTGTTCTTCAGCGATCCGGTTGGTACTCAAACTAGCAAAGCCCTGAGAATGGGAGAGGAGGAGGAAGACCCCCCACCTGTCTGCTTCTGGAGCCTCATGGGGTCCTCCACCCCTGGTGTGAGGCACTGACCGGTGCCAACCACAGCCGCCTCCATTCGAGAACCAGGACCAGTGGGTCAAAGGGCAGCAGGCAGCTCCCAGAGAGCGGATGGCACGGGGCTCCATGACCCACGGGGCCCGAGATGGGGGCCCACCCTCTCTCCTCAGACGAAGAGCACTTCCAGGGTCTTCAACACAAGGACACACACACACACACACACCAAACGGTGGGAAAGGGAGGGGCCGCAGCACCTGGCACATCAGTCACTAAGTCGCTTATTTAGCATTTATTTTTAAAATATATTTAAACAGCAGCAATCACTTCCAAAATGCAAAAAAAAAAAAATTACAATTTTAGAATAAAATTATGATGTTTATAATGCGAATCAGAAAGAACTGAAGGTACAACTGAGAATCAAATCCCACAGCACTGAGGGTGACTGGAGAGCCCAGGCTCACTGGTTTGGGGTTCGGGCTGACAAGAGGTCCCAACCTGCGAGGTTCCACCCTTGTCACCCCCCAACTCCCCACTGATGAAGCCAGTGTCCTCTGGGTTAGAGGAGAAGCGGCAAAGAGCTGGCCTTTTATGGAGGATTCCCAAACCGTGCCCCCACCAGCCAGGGACCTGCTAATCGACCTCCTCCATGTTGCTGTAGGTGGGGGCTGGGCGGTCCACAGGGGGGGCGAAGCGTTCAGGGGCTGTCCGCGTGGGGGCCACCTCGGGGGCCTGGCCAGGGCCTAGTCCCTGCAACAGAATATTAGGACAGGGTTGGGGGCTGCCCAGTGTGCTGCCTGGCATCCCTGGGTGCTGGCTCGGAGCTCCGGCACCCAAGGGAGGGCCCAGGGCAGGCGCAGACAGCAGCGCATTGACACAGAGACAAGATCAGCCTGGACAGTCTCGCTTTATTAACACTTGAAGTACAGGAAGCTCGGGGGTGGGGCCAAGCCAGGCCAAGGTCAGAGCAGCAGGACGGACGACAGCTGGATGGATACCCACCCTCGTTTGCTCTGCCCCTGCAGGAACCACAGACCCCTCTCCCTCCCGACACACACTCTGAGGCCCGAGCCCAGACGGGTCCCCAGAGGCGGGCATGCCTGGTGAGCAGGCAGGCGGGCGGCTCACAGCAGCTGCCGGAGGCCAGCTCATCTCCAGCGACTCTGGGACACCAGAGGATAGAACACGTTGAGCACGAGGGCCACCAAGGCTGCCACGGTGCCCAGAACAAAGTACCGGAGGCAGCCCTCATCTGGGGTGGGGGGGCCGCATGGCGGGGGGCCCACCCAGTCCTGGGGCCCCCAGGGACCCCGGGGCGCAGGCCCCTCGGGCACCGGCTCCTCCGCGGCCTCCAGCTCCTGCCAAATCCGGGAAGCCTACAGTGTACGGAAAGGGAGGTGGGGGTGACCCAGTGTCCCCGAGGCCCCTGGCCACGACACTCCCACCCAAGGTGACTGGTGCTGAACCCCGACGTCCCCAGTGAGGCCGCAGGAAGGTGAGTGGGCAGGAGCCACGGGGCCACTCGCAGGTTGTATGACTGAGGGTGCGAGGGCGACTCCGACAGCATTCTGGCCTCGAGAAGATTTCCCATCAACGTGCCCCTTCCGTGGCGGCCTGGGGCTGGGCTGGCCGCCCACAGAGGGCACTGGCTCTTGGAGGACAGAGCTGCAGCCCAGGGACCTCCTGGCTCCTCCCACATCCAGAGCCTGACCGCTGTCTTCGAGGGCTTCTCCCAGTGAGTGGAGAGGGCTCAGGGCAGGAGAGGGCAGCAAGGAGGCGGCTAGCACAGGAGAGAGGTGGCTGTGCCCACAAGCCAGGCCCTGGGCACCCAGGGACGTAAGAGACAGAATACCCCGAAGGCTCAGCAGAGAGAGACGCTCACCTCAGAGAGGGCGACAGCCCCCCCGGCCATGGCAGCCAGGGCAGGCCGTGTCCTGAGGGCACGGCAGCCAGTGAGGCGAGGGCTGCATGGAGGGGGGGTGCGGGGAAGGCAGGGAGGCCAGCAGTACAGTTAGTTCACGGCACCGCGCCCGGGAGCTCGAGCAGACGCGGGCCTGTGCCCGTGGTGCCCATTGCCAACGGCCACTTGGTGTGTGCGCCTGTGCCCCCACACCACGGTGACCCTCTGGCTGAGGCTTCATGTGAGGGAACCCGTCTCCCTCTCACCAGTCCCAAGGCTGCAGGGCCCTATGGCTGGAGGAGAGGAAGCCGTGCCCCGGCCCTCCCACCTGAGCATCGGGCCCCAAAGCTTGCGAGCCTCCCAGGCCTCACCTGGCTGGCAGCAGCCTCAGCTGCAGGGCCGAGGTCTGGGTGGCGCTCGGCGTGGCCTGCCCGGGGGGGTCTCTCCACAGGAGAGTTCCGCCGGCGGTAGAAGAGGACGTAGGCGTAACGCGTCACGACCTGGCTCTCGTCCACCGTTGTCACTGTGCTGTCGTCAAACAAGCGCCAGCCTGCGGCAAGGTGGGGAGAGTGTGAGCAGTCCTGCCCCCCCGCACCCCCACCTGTCCTGCTGGCCGCGTGCCCTCACCCACGTCGCTGCGCTGGCTGCTGCGGTCGTTGGGCAGGCGGGCGCAGGCGGTGGAGAAGATCATGCCTCCATAGTGGTTGATGACAGCGTACAGGTCATAGCTGGGCAGCTGCTCCTCCTTCTGGCCGATGCAGAACTTGCTCAGGTCCAGATTCCTGTGGTCCAACCGGAGAGGCAAGAGCGGCCTCAGGTGCCTGGATGCCCACCTTGGCCCAAGCCCTGCCGACCGCCACCAGGGCCCTTTGCTCACCGGACAGGGAACTCCACCAAGTCGTTGATCTTGTCGCGCCAGATGAAGCTGCGGAAGGAGAAGCGCTTGAGCTGCACGATGAGCACGTTGGGCAGGCGCCACAGCAGCAGCTGCTTGGAGGCCTCGCGGTGCTGCTTGCACTGCGGGCAGTACCTGGTGGGCACGGGGGACGGGGAGAGGTCAGCCGCAGGTCCCCACTCCCCTCCGCCCGGCCCAGCCCCGGCCTGTGCCCGCCGCACCAAGCCTCCTCCGGGGCCAGCACTTCAGGCCGCGTGAAGAGC